CCTTTTTTTCCTTTGTTAAAAAAAGATAATTCACAAAAAAAAAAAAAAAAAAAAAAAAAAACAAAAAAAAAAAAAAAAAGTGATACGTTATTTTGTTGTCAGATTATTCTACTGAGTGACAACTTCACCTAGCAGCATTTAAAGACTGAGGTTCCAGTACCAAATACTACCTAAGAGGTAGTTGGTATCTCTTAGGCAAAAACTTCATCAGATGATCTCGAGGTACTACTAGATAATTATCCTGATCATCTTTCTTACACTACAGATTAAATACCCAGATGTATATAGCAAGGGGAACTAAACTGTGACTGAGAAGCTCAGTGGCTGAAGGAAGCAAGGAAAGATCTTGCATTCTACTCTCATGCCTTATTCACCAAACTAATTATATTTCATATAATTTCATTTAAGTATAATATTCACCAAACGGAATATTATTCAAAAAGCATCTGCTTGCAAGGAACAAATGACTTGGTGGAATTCTGGGTAGATTTTCTGTTTGTTTCCTAAATTTGATTTCCACAATATCTGCTCAGTCAATGAAGTAGTCAGTTTCTGTATTTGTCACAATCATACATTTATGTTTTACAACAGAGCACACTAGAAGGAAAGCAGGAAAAAATTATAAATTACACAAGCTGTAACCACTTGTAAAATCTCTTAGTACACAGGAATGAAAAAACAAGGATGCCATCAGCATTGAACAAAATGGCATCCCTTTACTAAACAGAATTGCAAAATATCTTAATCCGATTCCTACTCTTCTACTGAAGAAGTGAGAGTGATACCCATCAAGAAACATATTTTATTTGTTCAATGCAGAAGACTAAAATGCATTCATTAATGTAGGGATGAAGAGACTCACATCAGTTAGCTGAGAGAGAACTCACACTACCTTTGATTTAATGGCAGCAAGTACAAAGTATATATATATATTTATTCTGACAGGTGTACTTTGGATAGTTCATGCTGGAACATGTTGAGAAAGTATCTGCACAGCATTTATTTAATTAGTGGCACAGACACTTCAAAAACCTCATAGCAGACCATACTTTCTATATTCTGACCAATTCTTTTTATGTTCTGATTATTCTGGGCAATATTCACTAAGTTCTGATATATCTCAATTTTCAAGAAAAGTCTTAGTAAAGTTCACTTACATTACCAGTAAAGAAACATACACATCTAACTTTCTCATCAACTGTGTTGATTAGAATATTTTACTATTTTCTATTTGAGGTAGATTTGCCCAAAACAAGTTTCAAGTCTACTTTTCCTCTAAGAAACACTGAAAGCCACAGAAGCATTTTCCCTTCTAATAGCACCATTTTCTTCTTATTTCCATTATTATCTTACTTAGACTATTCCCCCTCACCTCAGGGCTAGAATAATGGGGGAAAAATTGGCACCTAATAACAAAGCAATTTTTAAAGAACACACTTAGCATTTACTACCAGGGTGCAGCAATGTCCTGCATGTTACTCAGTGCCTTCTGTTTTGTTGGATGTAAAAGACGACTAAATTGACTTATCTTTCAGATGAAGAGAGAAAAGGAATTGAGGATTGGAAGGAAAAGGAACATGGACCAGTTCATACCAAACCCCAGATCTAGCGAACAGGGATTCTCATTGCCCCCACCATAAGAAATTATTGGTCGCACAATTACAGGAACAGTTGGGAAAGCGTTAGGCAGTGGTAGGGATGCAAGAACAAATTTACTAAATGCCTGTCTAACTTGGGCAAAAATCTTAATATAATATGAAATCCCAACACTGGGTTATTAGAAACTGGTTTATTATATCTGTTCCAAATGAAAAAGAACTTTGGCATAAAGTTATGAGCAAGAGAAAATAACAAGGCCCTGACTACCTGTACTTCAGAGATGCAGCTGAACCTATGCAAAGTCCAAAAGAGAAATTTTCATAAGAGACTAATGAAAGATATTCTAAGTCCAGCAGCGAAACTGCTAGTATTTTGTGAAAATATACTATTACTCTTTACAAAAGCTAATGAAAAAAATCCATGCAATATACTTCAAAAATAGCAAACTGTGCTCCTGTTAGCATACACAGATATATATACATACAAACACAAACTGAAGACTTATAAACAACCTAATACCTATCCTTCCATTCTTAAAACACAGAGGCTGTTAATGTTAGATACCTCTCACTACCATATCTACCATGGCATCACATAAGCTTGTAGACAAGAACCAAAATCCTTTTCCCATCCACTCCTTTAGATGATTAGTCATTCCCCAGATCAGCCTAAAGCAAACATAACATTTCTTCTTGCTCTTTTACACTGGAATGCAAATGAAAAATACAGTTGTGTACTCATCTTTAGCAGACATTGGTTCACATCCTAGTTTAATCTTTGAAGCAGCACAAGACGGTGAGCTATACAAGTGATACCACTCAGCCCGTTGGGGAGGGCCAAAAAACATGAACTGTAATCCTTTATCCACCCCTAAAGGGCAGACTGAAACTCCAAACGATCTGCTTTGCCTCCAGCTGCTGATAATTGCATAATAGGAATATTTAGGAGAAGGCTGTTGAGAACTCAGGGACCTGGAGAATTCTGTTTACCCATAACTCACAGTGTTCTCTGCAATGAGACTATTAATGAATCTCAGAAGGACTTATTGTGAATGCTGTAGCATAACATCTGTTAAACTTCCTATCACTGAAATAAAAATGAGGATATACTGAAAAACATTGGAAAAGTTGAAGATAAACTTCTGTTACAACATACATATATACAACCAGCTGGGCTTAACACAAATTCTTAATCTGTTTTCCTCCTCAATTTGATTGTTCTTATATTCTGTTCAGTTTCATTTACTTACAAAAATGCATAGGGGCGCAATAAATAACTTGAGAAAACTTGCTGAGAAAAAGCAACTCACACTAGCATTATCAATGTACAAAGTTTATAGATTTCATGCTGTGTGTTTAAGATATGGGTATCTGTAACAACACGTATTCATCTTCCTTTACCCATACTTCCCCTCCCTCCAGATAAAAGTGCATTCAAAATCCTAGTCCAATGAGTCAGTTAAAAATACACATCTGAATCATACGTATATTCTGAATACAACTTTAAAGCCGACAGGGATACTATTAATACGTATAACTAAAGAAACAACCTCAGCTAGCTGATTTTGTTATCATCTTGCCTGTTCCAGTTAACTACAACTAATGCCACAACGTTTCTCCTGCCAGTCTCCCTTATCTCTGTTTTTAAAATGAAATATTTTAGTGTATTAGCTATTATCTTCTATTCCTGGTCTTAAGTTTTTGGTGATATTTTCTTTTTAAAGCAAATATTTAAGCGTACTAGCTACTACACTCCATTCCTTGTTTGAAGTTTCTGGAGATTTCTCTTTCCTGCAAATAGACTTAACATAGTCCTTTAAACCTCAGGATTTTAAGAAAGCAAACAAGAGGTAATGTTACCTTTGTTCTACATATATCCTGTACTTACCTGTACAATTGTATTGGTTTCACAGTTCTGCTCAGGGATACCATTTAAGGATCAGAACCTCATTTTGCTAAACCCTACAAAATTGAAGTCCTTGCCCCACAAAGCTTCCCATAAGAATACATAATGGAACAGGTAGATGCAAGAAGCCACTGACATTTGACAAAAAACAACAAGAAGGGTTTGAGTAATTTATCAGAACACTAAAACTGTCAGAAAAGTTGGCTGAATATGTAAGTGTACCTGCTCACGAAATAAAGTTTCTGCTAATACTACTCTACGAGTAATTGCTTCCAAACATTTCACACCGTCACTCAAAGACTCCTTCCCCGAACAGCATTGCTCTTACTTGACACGTGTCATTTGCCTATCGCTGGAGGACAGAGGCTTAGCCTTCCTCTTTCACGCAGGCCCTTATCTCTAGCCTACGGCCAAAACCAAGCCTTCCTCCCCTCCTCCTGCACCACAGGAGAGATGAGGGGCCCACAAGAAAGGAAACTCGATCCACTGCTGAGCCGGGCCACATTTTCTCCGGCACCCAGCGCAGGCACTACTGCCCGTTTTCTGCAGCGCTTCGCACCGGCGAGGCACGGAGCAGCCCCACAAACTCGGCAGCGGCCCCCCCCAATTTCGCACGCCGGCCCCTTTCCCTCAACCGAGGTGGCCCTCGGGCACCCAGAGACCCGCCTCGCCGCCGGGGCCCGCTCTCTCCTCTGCCCCCTCAGCTCAGGGCCCTCACCCGCAGCCTCCGCTCCCCGCCAGCCCGGAGGCGGGCTGCCCTCCCGGAGGGCTCCGCACAAGACCCCTGACACGGGGAGCGGCCCGGCCCGCGGCCGAGCGCAGGCGCC